ACGTGAAAAAATCTTTGCTTTTTATCCATGAAAAAAGTGTATTAATGCATTTGTTTTTCAAATGGTTGTGGCTCCACTATCTCGGAGCTTCGGTCCCACGCCGCTCTCGTAAGCGGCAACAAGCGTGACTGAGCAGGCCAGGTTACGAAGTTACGTATTGATACATTCACCGATAAATTCACCAGTATTTCAGTACTCTTCCATTTCGGGGAACTATGCGGCCGATAGAAGTCTTTAGGGAACTCGATCGATATTTTTGCCTCCCTGCAGGCCATGACCGCCTTCCTGCTTCGAAAAGTGCAGGATAAAGATGACTGAAAAGTCGGTTGCAACGATTTGAGGGCAGAACAGGAGGTGTGTGTTTTAAAATCTGACAAGTTACTGCTTCAACTGCCACCTCATGATCAGCCACACAGTGTCCAAGAAATACCAAGAAAGTTCGACAAAAGGATGGAATTTTTTTCTTTGCCGTTTCAGGAATCTAAGTAGGAACTACGAGAAACTTCCCTTGTCGTTAGGACATGCTGTGCAATGAAGAGTCCTTCCTACAAGAGCTCACGTGATAAGACACAATGCTTGGATTGTTCTTAGATGTGATGACAGGGTAAGCTATGTTTTATTATCACGATGTTCGATAACCACCGTCCAAGTGAGAACATAAATTATCATATTTTAACTTCACCATGAATCTTTCTTTGATAGTAATTAACTTTCAGGCAATCACTCTAGGCCTGTGTCTTTCACTCGCAAGAGGTTGCTCAGTGTTCCCTGTAGTATCCTTGTTATTAGCACTGTTTTCAGCCCATTCATGGTTCAGAATGACCACTCAAATTTTGCAGTCGTTGGTGATATGATGATCATGAGCTTCACTAACACAAGAATGCTTGGAAAGAGTACCATATAACCCCATACATTAATTATGCATTCAGACTAACCGCCTCCCGGTTAGCTCAATGGAGAGAGCGCTGGACTGTAGTGCGGGAGGTCGAGGGTTTGAGTCCCGGCCGGACCAACACTCAAGGTCTCAAAATAATTGAGAAGAATTTGCTACCTTTCTATAACATCAAGAAATGGTTAGATATTCTAGTCTTCTTGGATAGGGACGAATAAATGGAGGTCCCGTGTCCTGCAGGGTTGGGGTAGGAGACGTTAATTTCCCACACACGAGATTACTGTGTGATGGATGTCCTCCCCTGGGGTGGGATGGGTGGGTTAGGACAGCAGGTCCACATCAGCTATTACAGCTGCCAATTAATCAACCTGCTTAAACAAATAAATGAACTTGAACTTGAACTTGAATGAACTAGTAGACTTTGTTTTTAAAGTTTTGTCGTGAAAGACAAAGAAGTGGAATGCATAATTAATGTATGGGGTTACATGGTACTATTTCCAAATGTTTTTTAGGTCATCTGGGTTATGTGCCAGTAGGGATGCATACACTTCTGTAGGTTTCAATGCTCTCTGAGTAGTTGAGAAGCTCTTCAATTCTAACCACTCTTTAACAGCCTCATCTCTTCATGGGAAATAAGTAGGGCTAAATGACCAGCCTTTGTACTGCTGCATTACCATATGCAGCTCTTTCTCCTCTTTGAACTGGCATATTTCTGTTGTTGTGTAATCATGAAGAGAGGGAAGTAAGCTTCTGAGGCTGGCAAACTTTTTTTCAAGGTAGTTTACAGTTACTGTAGCAGTCAAAAATTTAAAAGAACGCTCTGGAGGTCTAGATTGCAACCAGCATCTTTCAGTGAAACTTTCTGGCTGTTGCTTTTCCATTCAGAAGGATCTTTTTCTCCTCATTGTTGTTGCTCTTTAACTTGTTTTGGAATTTTGACAACTCTGAGGGAGATTTGTGACTCTTTAACAGCTCCAGGTTTGCTATAGCTGTGTCAAGTTTTCTTGCAATGCCAGTGATGGAAAGATCGTCTCTTTAGAAACATTCACTCAGTTCCTTTAGAACTGTAGTGACATCTGGAAGAAAGTAGAGGAATTTTGCAAATTTGACTTTTTTTATTCCCTTTAATATCCCCTTAGCTTAGGCTGTATCTTTGCCTTTCCCACTCCTAACCTGCTCGAAATGTGTGACTGTCACAGCAAGATTATTTTGTATAGCAGGGAGAGCCCTAGACAGCTACCTTGTCTTCTTAAACTTACTTCTGAAATGAGCTGGATTTTTTTCAAGGATGTCTGACACTGCATTTACTTCTTTTCTTTTCTTTGATGAATAAAATAAAACTTAAAAACTTATCTGATAGTTTTATCAGAAGTTTCAAGATAGTGAATGGATTTAACAGCATCTCAAACTCCAAGCTCAAGGTTATGAGCAACACAGGGTAACATTACAACTGACTGTGGGACTTAGCACAGCAACACCTGTATGCGTGACCATCATAATGCTAGCTCCATTAAAATTGCATCTAACTAACTTCTTTTTTAGTGTTTCTGTATCAATGCCAACTTTCTCAGTAGTGATTGCCTTACAAACTCCATCAGCAGTTGCAGATTAAAGGGCAACAACGTCAAGAAATTTTGTACATGGCTGTCCACACAACGTACAAACACTGACCCTTTTTTTGACTTAAAATGTGCTTTTCCTACGGACAAGTTATATCAAAGGTTTTACATGTCTGAACTAAAATAATTTCAACCTGTACCAGACAATCAGACATAGGTTTTGGTGCACCCTGATCATTGAGTATTCATCTTCATCTCTAAATTTTCAGCATAAAGGTTTTTACATGTAGAACAACCAACATTTTTTTATCCTTCAATAATTTAATTGCTCAGTGCATTTGGTTTTAATCCTCTCACTCATAAGATTTAAGAATCTTTTCTCATCAGTGTGTGAGCCACAACCTCTACAAGCTACATAATGAAGGTTTTTAACTTTGAATGATTGCCAACTTTTCCCCATTGAGTACGTTTTCATCAAGAATAAAGTAAGCACAGTGATAAACTGTATAAATTATTGTATCCAGCCATGAAAAAACATATGAATATGAACCAAGTTTATTTTCTTTTAACCCTTTTGCTTGCAGATTCCCATTTAAACCCACAAATCAGGCCACAGCACATCTCCTTTTGTTTAACTCCCCCCCCCCCCATAAACTAGATATAATTTCTAACAGAAGGAAATTTACAATCATTTTAAGATTCTTTTGTTACATATTGGTCCTTGTGTACGTAATTTGGGGCCATCAAAGCAGAGCACATCAAAATATTTGAAGTGTTCCTTGTTTTTCCTTGTTTTTCCTGCCCTACTAAGACAAGGTATTTTTCTCTTACTGGTGAGCATAACTTTTGTACTATGTGAAAGTAGATTATTTCAGGAACTTAACACTTTTTTCTCTGTACAATTACAATGCAACTTCATTGCAACCAAAATTATGCCTTTTCATGTTTGTCAAGGCATTGCTCGCCAATTTTTATTAATAATCTTGAGGGTATATTCCAGAACTTAACTTAAGTAACAACTTGTTAGCTTCACTTGAAATCACCAAACATGTAACCATAAGTGGCACAAAGAACCATAAATAGATAATATGGTGAATTGGTTCTGTTCAAAATGAAAAAATTACAATCCATAGCAGCTTTCAGGAGTGAAAGCAGAAAAATAACTGTGTAAAATACTTTAAAATATACTGGGAAAGATACAATTCACAAGTCTATGTAATCGTTTCCTTCGATTGTTTGTAAACTGCTGATGCAGTCCGGCCAAAGTCGCCCGAAAAGTGTTGTGATGCGCATTTGATCATATCCACATGTTAATTTGTGCAATATAAATATTAAATTATTATTATTATTATTATTATTGTACTTTTCACTTTAAAAGAAAGAGGGCCTGTCTATCGCAGTACTCCACCTGAGTGCTGCTTTTCCCTCAATTACTCTTGATGTGTACTCTGAGAGCTTTGCAGTCACAGGTGATGCACACTGTTTGTCTTGTACTTAAGGGGGGCATTCTGGTTACATTTTGGGGCAAATTCACTTGCACATAAAATAATGCATAAAAAATTTACAATTGAGAGAAAACAGTCAAAACTTGGCACATGCATTAATCAATGACTAATAAGTAAGACAACATGATCAATAGACACCAGAATCTTTAATGAAGTTAATTATTAACTAATGAATTCCGGGAGACAATTTTTTACTTGTTCTAGCTTCCCCTTGAAATTCTTGTGTCCTAAAAGAGCTATAGAGCTGTAACTTAGTACAAAGCACTTACACAACACACTCTACAAAGTAATTGAGCCTTTTGGGGTTTTGCCAACTGTAGTTACCATGACAACCATTTGTCGACAGAGAATATTTATCAGACTGTAATTTCTGTTTTATGTGGAATTTTCAAAAAAGGCTCAATCAATTTGTTAACCATAATATCTATTATAACTGTGCAAAATACGGTGAAAATATGTTGAAATGCTCTTAAGATATTTAAGGGGCAAGTACGAAAACAACAATTTCCATAATTTGAGAAATGCAAGTTAAAAATGACTAACATAGTTAGATGCTACTTAGAGCCCCTTGACTTACATAAACTCACAAATTTACATTGATACACTGCTTACACCTATCCTAACTGTCTCTACTTGTTCCTTTTTATCTTTTGAGGCTCTCTGAGAGTAGCAATGTCATTAAAACTGCCTGCTTCATATGTCATGCCTTCTCTCCTGACTTGGAGTTCTTCTTCTTTGGCTTTTGCTTGTTTCCTTGCAAGCCTATATTTCTTGTGCTTTTCTTGCACTCTTGCCACAGCCTGTTTTACTCTTCCTGAGTCTCTTCTTTCACTAGCTCTGTTGGTATGGTGTCCCACAACAAGCCCTGCTTCCCTCATAACATTGTGTTTCTTAGTTGCGCTGCAACTAAAATGAAGGGCAGCAGCATTTGCCACCATTCCTATTCTCTTTGATCCATGCCACTTGTGCTTTGGACACTTTCCAGGCAAGAGAATTGATAGAATCATTGGCATTGTGTGTAGCCAGGCAAACAGGCCTTTGCAACTATACTGACTCACTTAATCTTTCATAAATCTTTAGCAATGGCTCTTTGAAGACAGCATCCAGATGATGAGGCTTGTCTTTGCAGGCTAAGCCAGCACAATGATTAGCAGTAAAACCCCACTTTGACCAAGTGCAATCAAAGGTGACAGGGATATCAACAAGAGAACTGTTATCATTTCTTGAGGTTCCTCCATCCATTGCGACTTTTTTTGCTTCATTCCCATTGGCTTTAAGCTGCTCCTTGGTGACTTTGTAGTGTGCAGCATGAAGAATTTCCTCATGGTTATACCAAGTGTCTATGGAAATGCTGAATGGCATGTTTAGGATTTCACACAGCTTAGCCACCCCTTCTCTACCAATTCCCATCTCAAAAGCAGCATAAACTACTCGTCTATTGTTATCTTTACCCTGGATGGTTCTCGGGGTCTCTTGATCACCATCATGCTCTCCTGTAGCCATGAATTCCTCCATGCCACACTCATGGCACTTAGCAAACAAAGAGCTGCTGATACCAAATCTCTCAATGCTTCTCTCAATGAGCTTAACATTGCCTAAAATAAAATAATTATATGTAAGACACTCTAGTATAGCCACAGACAAACATTATGTGCTCGCAAATAAAGAAACATTAAAAAAACATATAACACACCTGAAGCACTTGGTCCACGCGAGTGAATCCTTCGAACAAACTTCAACAAACTGTCCATAGAAACAAGCTGATAGCCTTTTACTTTTTCCTAAAATTCATAACTCTTGGAATCAGATGATTCTTGTTCTTGGGCACTAGTTTCCGCGAAGATGCTGGAGTTTTGGGCAGAGGAATTCTTTCACTTACAACATCCTCTTCGCCAACAAATGTGACAGCAACGGTTGCAGTCTGATCACGCGTTTTTGCCCTTAAAACAGTTTGTTTTTTAACTCCCCTGAAGCCTTTTTTCTTCCTTTACTTATTATTCTGAATAGTCGACTGTTTTGAACCATATTTAGGCATTATAACAATGATATTTTGGGTGTATACGAAATTTGTAAAATTAAACGAGACTTACCTGTAAGTTGAAGTTTGATTGAGATTCTATCGAGTCACCAACTGCACCAAGGGATCACATGAGATTGCCTAGCGCATGCGCAACATCAGTATTAAAAGCCGAAATGTGAATGTGAACAATGTATAGTAGTGTTACCTCAGAAGAGAGGTATAAAACATAATGGGTGGGCATACTAAAGTCATACCCTTACAAACCAAGGGTGGGCATGTGATCCCTTGGTGCAGTTGGTGACTCGATAGAATCTCAATCAAACTTCAACTTACAGGTAAGTCTCGTTTAATTTTACAAATTTCGTATACACCCAAAATATCATTGTTATAATGCCTAAATATGGTTCAAAACAGTCGACTATTCAGAATAATAAGTAAAGGAAGAAAAAAGGCTTCAGGGGAGTTAAAAAACAAACTGTTTTAAGGGCAAAAACGCGTGATCAGACTGCAACCGTTGCTGTCGCGTTTGTTGGCGAAGAGGATGTTGTAAGTGAAAGAATTCCTCNAAATTATTAACCATCCTACGATATTTGTCCAAGCAAGTGTGATAGAAACTTTCATGTTTTCCTACCTTCTCACAACTGGATGGTACTAATTTTTGTTGTTGGTGTTGCTGGCTGATTGCTTTTTCCGGAACGGTGTTGATGGGCGGCCTTGCCCCAAAAAAGACTGGCGGTTGGTTGATTTATTGCCAGAGCCTCGTGTCCGGTCATAATGGTAAGGCTTGAATCTGTTAAAATGCCTTTTTTGAGAGTGCACTGCACCCCGGTTTGAGCTGTTGGAATAAGGCTTTTGCATCTGCTGGCCAGCTTTTTTAGCTTCAGACATATCTTTCAGATGTTTGGAGAGATCGTCTCCAAACAATTTTGTGGACATAGTTATATCCTCTTTACATAAACGTGTGTATGGGGGATTAAGCTCAGGCTTAATCAATTCTCGTCGCTTCATGTTGAGCTTCCAATTTGTGTTTCCGAGCATGGCGACGCTATCCATCACATGATCTAGCATCTGCCGCGTGTCTGGCGTTTTGCCATCATTGATGTCTTTTACCAATTTGCCCGCCAATTTGGTCAGGGCCGATATTCCTTGTAACAAGGGTTCTTGAACCCGTTGAAAAGCCAGATCCACAGCTCGGCTTTTTCTGGGCAACAAGTCCCAGATTTCTTCATTCACCATTGTTACTGCCAGAAATTTGCAGTTTTCTGGCGGTGGATGTTTCTCCACTCTTTCCTTGACCGTTTCGGCCGATAATCCCCCGATAAGCATATTATCGATTAATTCGGCAATTTTGCCTTCAATGGCAGGGGAGGTGACTTTAGATGTGGTAAACGCCTGGGTCAGGCTGTCTACCAAAACGCTCTGAGTCGGCCCTGATTCAGGGCTCTTCACAGAGGTCGTCTTGCTGTTGTCGCTCGAGTCGAGCACATTGTTGAGAGTGGCCGCTATGTCTAGCGTATTATCACTCGTGTTATCATCTATCGCAGGAGTATCCTCAGAATCTTCATCGGCAGAGCAGAGAAGAATGTCCTCCTTCCAATTCTGAATGGCTTCTGTCTGTAGTTCCGAGTTCTTGGCGAGTTGTGCTAGCGTCGTCTGAAGGCCTTGCAGGACCGTCGCCATGTTGACTTCGGTCATTCCTCGATCGTTTTCTCTGGACGCGAAGCGATGTTATGAAGCAACACGAGTTGGCTCTTTGAGCTGAGTAGCCAGGCTCTAATCGGAAAATTTAAACCCAGGGACGTGGATCTAGGACTTCTGGATCCCACAGACTCAATTCAGCAGATTTTTTGTTTTTTCTATTGCAAATTTAGCTGAAATTCTGATTGGTTTCGCCTTCGTTTTCATGGTAATGGAAACGGAAAATAATAGAGACCTCACTTCATGTGGATTTTTTTTGATAAAAGCGTTCTTTGTTGGGTAAAAGAATATTATATCCTAAAAATAGATAAACTTAAGTGATCTTTAGGGGCATGAAATAAATTTTACATTTCTTTTGGGAATTTTTGGATTTTTTCACCTTAATGCCCCCTTAAAGGTTCTGCTCAGTTTTTGAACAGAAACCACCTTAGCACAGACAACTCAGTTTCTTCTCTGCTCTTCTACAGATATTTGATGGTACTGCCTGCTAAGTCTCCTCTTATACTTTGAAAGGGATACATGTACAGTACTCGTACAGGCATTTTGGTGGAACCTAACAGGTTGCCCCTTATGACATTACATGCCCTTGTACGGTGATTGTGGTCACAGTAAAGTCAATATTTCTAGTTGAATGTCAAGGAAGTTAAAAACATTTCTCTATTGATTAACTTAATCTTCTTTATAGCCAAAAGATTAAATTTTGGGCAGTGTTGAGGTTCAATAAAATTTTACTTATTCAATTACTTTCACTTTTACCAAAATATTAGTTCTGCAGGTTCTTCTGATTCTGCAGGTTCTTGTGGTATGCTGATCTGCAGTGTAGTAATACCTGCTTCAGTGGAAATATGTTTGTTACATTTTTATCAGTTGGTTGATTATTCTGTGAACAAAGAAAACTGCCAGCACTTGTAGGGTCAAAGTGCCAAGCACTCTGTCCTTTGCTATTGTTTTTTGTGCAATAATTAAATTATTTCTGCAATAGTGCAGTTCAAGATCTTTAAGTGTCTGGGTCCTTGATGTTCAGTACTTGAGCCTTCAGTCTTGATCCTTGATTTTTGATAGTTTCAAGGATTGAGTATTGAGTCAAATCTGTCAACTTACTTTAGAGTAGTACTTTACATGTAAAACAGTGTACACTCTACTATGAGTTGAAAAGCAAATACCAGTAGATAAATACATAAATACATGTAAAAGAGAAAATTTTTTACATGTCAAATCATATATCAACATTATAAAAATGATTACTATACTGTACAAAATTTAAACTTCTCTAAATTATGAATTAAATATGATGAATTAAATTAAAAATAAGAATATTTATCATAATAACTTAATCATGGATCTATTGGTTTAGTATATAGGTTCCACACAGAGCAAGCATTGGCTATAGTTGAGGATGCACAAGGGTACTGTATACCTTAGATTTGACATTGGTAGTACAATCCGATAACACCCTTCTTAGAAGACCAAAATAATGTTCCATTAGGTGTACTACAAATATTATTGCAGTGTTGATTCAGATTAGGTTATGAGTCATGGTAACTCCAAGATATTTGATATTTAGCAATAACAGCATCATTCCTGAGACGCGGTCTGTAACTGGCATTCATTTCAGAAGGTGGCCTGGAACGTGCATGGCCAGATGGAGCACAAACACCCTTGTGACAAAATAATGGTGCACAATGTCCATTCTAAAAGAAAGGCAATTTTGTGGTGTCTGCTAAATACTTTCTTCAAATTGGTGAAGGAATTCAGCAAACGCACTTCGTGCCCTTAATAGAAAAGCTTTTTTCAGGCTTTGTTTGACTTAAAATAATTGAGAAGAATTTGCTACCTTTCTATAACATCAAGAAATGGTTAGATATTCTAGTCTTCACGGATAGGGACGAATAAATGGAGGTCCCGTCTCCTGCAGGGTTGGGGTAGGAGACGTTAATTTCCCACACACGAGATTACTGTGTGATGGATGTCCTCCCCTGGGGTGGGAGGGTGGACTAGCACAAAAGGTTCCTATGTTCCTTTCTAGTCCTTCCCCACTGCAAAACTTAATGCAGTGAAGGTGGACTAAATTATATACTGTAACTACATGTATAAGTCAACTCCACCCATAAACTCCCCATAAACATAATTATTGTGCTTGTGGACGGGAATTGGTTGTAGAGTTCCACTGGTAGAATGATGCTGAACTGTGATTGGCTCATCAGGGCTATTAAGAGGATGGATCATGGAGATCAAATACATGGAGCATCAATCATACCAAGCCATGGTAACCAGGTATTTGTGGCTCCTCCAAATGTTGTATCCATTGGCCATACCCCTCTTGATGGCACAGGTTGACAAAATATCTTGCAGTTCTCTTTGGTTGTACTGTGGGTAAGAACTTGTTCCCCCTTCATCAAATACTCTGATAGCATGGTGAGGTATCTGAATATGAGCTGATGACACACTCTTCTTCCAGTTTTCTTGAAGGTATTTACTCACTGACTTCAGTGTGTGGGAGAGAAAGCGGTGGAAGGATGTGCACTTCTGTTCGAGTTTCACAGGGGGAAGTGACATCAAAGAATTCAATACCTTTAGCAACATGCCTCCACCAAACTCCTTCTCCACTCAAAAGGAAGTCAGAAATGTGCTCCAGGAGTGCTTGATAGGCACTCTGGTATTTAGGGATGATTCTGTGGGGGATCATACTATTTTCTGGTTTTGGCAAGCACTTGGATAGTTTCCCCAGTCGTGACTCCTGCTCTTGAATGGCACTTCGTCGGTTGATTTCACCTTGTTTCATTTCTGCTTGCATCCTGATCAGGCCAGGGGTGATGATCTCTCCAGGTCGTCTGCTTAATGTTGCCAGGGATATGCTGGCAAAAGTGTTGAAATGGTGCTGTTGTTCTGTATTGGTTGACCTGGAGCAGATGATGCGATGTTAGATAGGTGCATGGCACACCAGTGAGTGCAGGTAATGGCCATAGAACTTTTTCTCTGTAAGTATTATAGGCTTTCCTATAACCTCCTCACATGCAATAGCATGAAGAAAGGTTTGATTGTGAAGCCTTTATACATTTTTTTGGCATCTCTCTTGTACCTTAGCATACAGAATTTGCATGATGTCTGTCATGGTGTCCAACAAGAGCTGCACCTTTTCATCGACAAAACCTATGAAGGAGAAAATAATAAAATATAACTATATAAAGACTTGATAAAAAAATAATTTTGATGGAACTAAAGAACATCTTTCTGTAAGTGGGGAGTACAACATGTATTAACGGTTGTTAACTGTTCAGCTTGATGATAAAAGTAACTTAGCAGAACAGCACTAATTAAGCACACAGCACAACAGCTGGTTACTTCTGAAAAGTAAGTATCTATAAGATGTCAATGTAATGTGAAAAATGCGAAATTTTTAGAGACTTAAAATAACATTGTCCTGATTCTTCTGCCAATTTTAGTCCAAACTGGTCTGACCTACCTACCAGGGGTGTGGGGAGGAGGGATAATAAGAAAGTATTATTTTCAGGACAAATTGAATATTTTAAGTATAAAGTTAATTAGGACCTCAGTCTATATAACTTCAAAAGTAGAACAATGTTCACCTCTCAACTGTTTTGCAAGCACGATACAGATCTCACGATAATCTGAACCACACAGTTGGTCTTTTGTTATAATAATAATAATAGTTAATCTTTATTGAGGATGCCAACATCACAAAAAAGTGGTTTACAGAGGGGTCCTCTAAAGGTAACTACATAAAATATAATTACTTAAGAAGAAAAAGAAAAAAATGCATATCGAAAAATATAACGATAAAACTACATTAATTTGAAAATTAACATGCGAAAAACAAAACTAATTAAAATAGTGCTTTCTTGATACCACGCTTAAATTGGCTTAAGGTGGGCACATCTCTTTATTGAAAGGGTAAGGCATTCCAAGAGTCCGCTGCAAAATTTATTGTTATCCAGTGACCCCATCTTCTGTGTGCGAATGATTTGCAGATATTTCACTTGGATCGTGTATTATAGTTATGATAGTTGCTTTTAAAAGAGCAGTGAAAAGTGTGCACAAAAAGGTTATTAACTACCTTAAACATGAAAATAGCACGATGCTCCGCTCTCCGCCTTTCCAGAGGTTTCCAATGGAGCTTTGAAAGTGCATGGCTCGCGGAAGCAGTAGGGGGAAGATCTAAAATGATTCGCGCAGCCTTGTTGCGAAGGACCTGTAGCTCCGCCATAAGGGTAGTGTTGCCCTGTTCTCCCGATATAATATCGCCGTAGTCAAAAAGGGGCAGAACAAAAGAATTAAAAAAAGTTATCGTAGCGCTTAGTGGGAGACACGACTTGATGCGCCGCAGAAGGCCTAGCTTCTTGTTTATCTTATTACGCATGTGCTCAATATGATCCTCCCAAGTAAGATTCTGATTGATAATTAATCCTAAGTAGGGAAAGCATTCTGCTTCCTTAAGTTGCTTTCCATCGGCTGAAATAACAATGGAATCGATTCTACGTAGTCTCGAGTTACTACCTATTAGCATAAATTGGGACTTCTTGATGTTAAGAGTAAGTTGATTAAGTTTCAACCAGTCACATAGTTGTGTGAGGTCCAAGTTCATCTTAGTTTCGATATCTGAAATAAGTTTGGAGGAAAAATATAAAACGGTGTCATCAGCGTACAAAGCAATGTTACAAGATTCAAGAACATTTGGTAAGTCATTCATATAAATTATAAACAATAGCGGACCCAAGATTGAGCCTTAGGCAACTCCGACAGATACTGTGTCTGGGTCAGATTGAGCTCTGCCACAGCAAGTAACTTGGTTTCTGTTGGAAAGGAAAGAATCAAACCAGTTCTGTGCAGTATCATCCACACCAAAGCGAGACAGTTTATGTAGCAGGATGGAGTGATTCACGGTGTCAAACGCCTTTGTCAGATCTAAAAAGACAGCCCCTGTAACAGTGCCGTTGTCCATGCTGAGGAGTAACTGATCAATAAACTGTGCAGAAGCTGTGACAGTCGAGGATTTCAGTCGAAAACCAAACTGTTTTGACGGGATTAGGTTATTCTCTGTTAGGTGGCCATAGAATTGAGTGTGAACAGCATTTTCTAAGATCTTAGGTACTTAACGTTGGCAGTACTGAGATCGGCCTGTAGTTGGATGCATCCTGTTTATCACCTTTCTTAAAGAGGGGTATGACCCTCGCGTTTGTCCAAACAGAAGGAAAAGTTCCTTTTTGTAGCGATAGATTAAATAATGACGTCAACGAAGGCGCAATAATATGTCCAGAGTACTTGAGCAGGCGGGCACTGATTTTATCTAACCCAGTAGATCTACTGGGTTTTAAATGCTTCACAGCATTCCAGAAACCAAGCTCAGTGTCTCCTCACATAACTTTTTCACATCATCTGAAAGGTGAGCAGAATTTTCAGTGATAATGTTTGAGATGTTTTCCTTCACATCATGTAATGGTTCAGTGGGAAGGACCTCATACATCCCTATATAATGAAAGGAAATAAATAAAACCAAAGAAAATTAATTTAACTGGATTTGATAAATACATATAAATTTGGTTATATGCTTGGGTGAAGTATGAGTGTTTTTAAACTGCTATTGTGAGGTGTTGCTTTTACATGTACAGTATGTCCTGGTCCATGTTAGGAGAATGAGACCAATCAATTTTGCATTGACAATCAATATCGTTTGATACTTGTCAGTTAGATCAATTTTAATTTTAATAATAAAAGTTGCTATTGTCCCAATGAGTACAACATTATACAACATGCACATGATGCTTTGCAAAAAAATGAGATTTCTCCTTAATGATCAAATGCACATAAAAGTACAAACTGTTTAATTTGTATTAACCAGCCATAGAGCCACTAGTCCATGAATTTAACATACAGTAAGGAGAGTAATTCTCCTTTATGGTAGCAGATAACTTTATAATAACTTTGTGTTATGCTAGTACTGTAAATATTTGAGTTAATTACATACCTAAATGAAGATCCTTTATGCTTCTTCCTTGATCCATGGTAAACATTGCTGGTACTCCCTGTATAACACCAAGATGCTCTTTTAGTATGATCTGCAGATCCTTCTTGTAGCCTTCATCACACAATCCCCGTGCGCACAGTTCAGCAACTGACATATCTTTGAATGCTCTGATTCCACCATTTCTTATGGCTTCTCCTGCAGGCCCTGCTAGCGATATGTTTTGCCGATCTGCTAGAGACAATTGGGGGCGTCAAAAACTGCATGTAAGGTCACGATACCTTCATGAATCTCCACTATGTCCACCACAACCAGCATTTCCTCCCCTCTGCTCTCCACTCTCAAACTGCTGCTCTGGGCCATCTCTAGGGAAGAACGGCATTACATCAATCACTTTAACTCCATCAGTGGTTTCTGCTTGGTAAGGAAGGTAATCAAAGCATTCTTGTCTGGTCTCAACATATGCAAGCTGCTCAACCTCTTTTTATCCACATCTCCCAAGAATATAGAGATGAGGCCTTTCAACAATTACTGCTACATCAAGCGCTCTATCCATTGAGCTAACCGGCTCCCGGTTTGCTCAATGGATAGAGCGCTGGACTGTTGTGCGGGAGGTCAAGGGTTCGAGCCCTAGCCAGACCAACATTCAAGGTCTTCAAATAATTGAGAAGAATTTGCTACCTTTCTATAACATCAAGAAATGGTTAGATATTGTAGTCTTCTCGGATAGGGACGAATAAATGGAGGTCCCATCTTCTGCAGGGTTGGGGTAGGAGACGTAAGTTTCCCACACACAAGATTACTGTGTGATGGATGTCCTCCGCTGGGGTGGGATGGGTGGGAGGGTGGACTAGCACAAATGGCTCGTATGTTCCTTTCTAGTCCTTCCCCACTGCAAATAATGCAGTTAAAATGGAGTAAATTAAATCAAATTACTACTTCTGTGGTAAATTAAATTAAATTACTACTTCCGTGGTAAATTAAATTAACATCTCCATACCCTCTGGCCTTTATCTCTTCAGGGGTGTAGAAGAAGGCTGGATCATAAAGGCACTGAATAAGGTACAATATGTGACCATGGTTCAGAATGGTTGAATTGTCTCCCCAGATCATGAGATGCCTGGTTCTCTGGAACTTGATGAGGAGTTCCTTTCTTTGCCTTGCTGTTAAATCTTCCTGGACATGCTTGTCACATTCACTAATCTCCATCAGACATTCTGTAACTTTCTCATCTGACATGCCTTCATAGTGAGCATCAGAATAGGCACGCACAATGCCAAGTTGTTCACACCTCTGAAGCTCTCTCTTTCTAATTTCAGAGAGAGGGATATTTCTGGCAGAAACTGTAAATTCCACTTGTTGAAGGGTGCCATCACTCTTCAGAACAAGCCTTTTATACTTCCTAGGAACAACCAGCTCTCCAATGGTAGATTCTCCTGCATCCAGTTTGTCCAAGTGAGAAATGAAACAAAATGACTCTATGTGCCTGTCCTTTATTTTAATTTTTTTTAAAAGCATTTTAATTACAATTTGCTTCCTTTATAATAACTTAAAAGGGTGCATAACAATTTGGTGGTAGTTTACATCTTTTTTTGTTTGATGTAGAGGGTGGGAGAGTACATTTACGGCCACATACACTGCATGTAAACTTGTGGAAAACATTGTACTTGTTTTAATTGTCTGTACGTGAACTACTGAAGTACATAATATTTTTGTACTTAATAGCTGCATTAGTACCAACATAAAATTAATTTATTAATTAGTACAATACTAAGAGGTCACCATCATTGACAGTCACAAACAAAGACTCTCTGGCTGCATTGATATAATTTTCTCAAGGATTTTAAATGCATTTCTAGTTAAACTTCAATCAGACAAGATTTACCTTCAGTGTGTGTTTAATTTCTTTGTTTGTTCTGGGCACAGGAACAGTGATGTCTCCTCCAAGCATCCTGTTCAGTCTCTGCTTTGGAAGGGACTGATCACCTCTTTGCTGCTGCTGGAAACGTTTTAGGTCTACTCCTTGGTTTTCAAGGTACTCTTTATAATTACCACCATATTTCCTAGCCTTAGATCTGCCAGACCATACCTTCATCCAAGATCCGAATAATTGATCTAGGCAAAAGTTTATGGTATTCTAATAGGCAATCTTAAGGCTGTTTTATTCTAAAGAATCAGTGCATTGTTACTAGACTTCCATATTTTTTCCAGGGCCCCCTACAATTTCCATGTACTTGTATGTGTATCTACATTGTATTATTGTATTTATGGTAGATGTAAGGAACTTCACTGTTTGTGTTAAATGCAAGTAACCTCACCTTGTCTCCTTCTTTCATATTTGTTATTTCTTTTAGGAGGTTTTCTTTGTCGAAGTTGACCTGATGGGGCTGTAGAGAATGGCGTTTTTTTCTCGCTAACTCCAAGATCTTCCTGTCTCTTCTGCTTTCCAACCCTTACGGCTGCTTCCTCCATTGTCTCAAAGTACAGAGTGGTCCTTTGTTTTTCCAGCTGACAGTAAGACTGCCTCGTGCTCAGCATTGTAACTACGTCATGTTTGGACGGCACTGCTGTAGTAACATGGCTCCTCAACCGCAGTTAAGAAAAACAAAAGAACTATATGAATCATAAAGACTAAATGTTCAACAAACAATGTCCAATGCTCAAATAGTAGAATCTGAAGAATTGAATTATCTAAACGGCTTAAGCAAATAAATGTTAAGTGAGTTAATTAAGATCAAAGTATTTACTGCAATGTTCATTGACTGTTGTTCTTTGTTGGCTCCTTGATGGGGACTTCCCTGGTCTCCTTGTGAAAGACATCCTCTTGGTACACTTCATCTGCACTCAACAATAGAACAAGCTTGTGTATGGGTCTATCAAAATGTGATGGTGGGCGTTGGCGTTTGCCACGATCATCCAAATTCCTGTCTCCCATCAGCAACCTGACCTTTCTGACGTATCCGTGTTACTCGGGTACACCTGTACTACTTTACCAAGTGGCCACTTGTTGCGTGTGCTTTCACTTTCCTTGGAGATGACTATATTGCCAACGGCAAGGTTTCTCTTAGGCTGGACCCACTTTTGTTTTAACTTGCAACATTTGAAGATACTCTCCTCGCCATCTAAGCCAAAATTCATTGGCTAGATACACGCTGGGGCCAACCTACCCATCTGACCGGTCATATTGTCAGTGTGGGGCCTTACGGGTAAAAAAAAATGGCGGAGGCTTGGCAATCAAGTGGTCACCCAACATTACGTTTAAAGCCAAAAATCACCCAAGTGAAGTCGATGTACTACTCAGATGCTACTGAGACTACTGAATTGAGGAGGGTAGATTCTTTTTTTTGAGGCCTTGAAAGCTGTCTTGCTGTTTTAGAAGAGAGTTCTTGGATAACAGCAGATTCCAAGGTGTTCAGCAGCTTATACCTAGTCATCATATGGTGGTGAAATTTCTATGCAAGATATGTGGCAGAATTATTCGACGTCTTTGACCAACCCCAAGGCTAGTTGATCCCTGGAGTGGGGAAATTTCACTTGATTTACCGATGGAACTGTTTAGCATAATTGCAAAGGAAATAATTGAACACAACTCTCATGGGCATACAAGGAGTGAAACTGGTACAACAGGGACTTATACCTTTTCAACCTCTAGCAAAGCAAAGTATGTTTTAGCCAGGATGAATCTAGAGGGGGTAATAACTCAACCTGAACATTTGCTTAAAAAACAGTTGTTTCCAGGATGTGACACTGAGAATTTGGAGAGAGTTGAAGTAGTTGTTAGTGCTGCTAGCCCAATGGTATGGAGATATCACAAAAATAAAGAAATAATATTTATTAAGTTTAAATATGGGTGCTGGAATAAATTTGGCATCCCACAACGTTAGAAGAACTTACTTTTATATACTACTCAATTGTTGTGGTTTTGATATTAGCTGTGGCAGTATTTCAGATCTGACTATAATGTAGGGGTCACAATTGATTTTCACTAATGTTTGTCTCTCAATTAACAGCTGTCAGTGAGAAAGGTTTTTATTGTTTAGGTTTGTTAACCGTTGGTTAGACATACATAGTCTCACTGCCTCTTCATGCATTGAGGGCAACCCACCCCGACCCCTAAGAATAATCAAACAACTAACTGTCAGATATCATTTTAACAGGATTTAATTTTCCAAATATCCATAATGTAACTTACATTTCCTGTTAAGAAAGGCTTGATTTATAGTTGACAACTCTTAAAACACTTGCATTGTAAAATGTAACTGTTTAAGTCCCAGTAGTGACCAGCGTCTTATTTCTCCTTAAAGCACCATAAACTCATCAAACTAACTTATCATGAGCATTCAAACTATTTTTTTTTCAGTGACTTTTTTTTTTGAGTATTGCAAACATGTTACAAGCTAAGTCTTTCAAATAGCACAGAGAATATGCAGTAGTTAAGGAGAATGTGATTGTCACTATTGGAGGTCATATGGAATAAGAGAAATCTTACAACTTAAAGACGATGACATTACTGTAAACGTGTCTGATACAAAGTATTTGTATTTTGAATGATCTGAGATGTCTCCCAGGGCCAGGTTGTGCGAAGCTCGACTAAGCTAACCAAGGATTAGTGAGAATTTTTATTTCAGTTTTGCAACTTTTTGGTGAGGTTTTCTACTTATATTGTTTGGCTTTCAGTTTTGAGCTTGAGTAAGCATAAAGTACCCAAAACATTAGCAGTAAAAACAGTCATACGACAGAAATTAAAACTTAGGTTAACTTGGGTTAGCGTTAACTGACTTTCAAACAACCCAGCCCAGATTCCCAATAAGCTTCTGGTATATGAGCAAAGGTATCTGAACTAAGGAATCTGCTATTATCCAAAAGATTTTCTTCGAAAACGGCTTCTGCAAATATTGCTTTAATACTGAGCAAAGTTGTCTGATACAAGGAATCTGCTGTTATCCAAAAGATTTTCCTCTGAAATGCCAACTGCAAATATTGCTTTAATGCTGGCAATACTTTCCCCTCATCAATACTTTCATTTATCCACTTCATTAATTTACTGTCACAGATAGAACATTTGTTGTCTGTTACCTGCTGTTTACGAAGACCACAGTAGCAGAAATCAACCTCACTACACTTTTTTGGAATGTAATATTCTCCTACAATAGCTTTTGCTTGGCCTTCCAAGCTTTGCCTCCTATATTTAGCTGACAGTGGATCAATATCTTTAAGCCAAACTAATGCAATGTGTTCGTGTCTGAAAACATGCCACCGCCTCTGTCCCTTTTGAACATTGGTTGTGTTTTCTATGTATTATTTCAGCTTGATATGTTTGGCTTCCCGCCCTTACACTGTGTTGAGTCCCAACCCAAATGACAAAGTCTGAACCATTCCTTTTGTATGAAAAGGAACTACAGAACCAATTGTCCAGACTGAGGGATTTACTTTCTGTAGGAACAAAGCATTTACATTAAAATACTCAGTGCAAGATTTTTCTAACTGCAAAACTTGGCCTTCAGTGATTCTTACCCTGCTAAACAGGGAGACGCAATCCCGCAATTTTTCAGCAGCACTGTGAAGAGCATGTAACTTAAGAACAGTGTTCTTGTCAGGATTCATTTGTAGTAGTGTTTCTGTCACATGCCCAAAATCCCAGGCAAAGCATTTTGATTCTTTCCCCATAAATCTGTATGAGAAATCTTGACCCTTTTTTCACTTTTCATTGTACCACTTACAGATATTGTTGCAAAGCCTTTTACACTTCAATGACTGCTCTAGGCAAGAGACAACCCTTTTCAAAGCCCATATATATATATATATAGATCAATTATATAGATCAATTTCTATAGCGCATTTCCATGTAAAATGCTCTAATGCGCTTTACAACACTGTGCGGGGGACTTTTCCAGACTGCCGGCGGCAGTTTACAATTAATAAAGGAGAAATTTTTACAGATGCCCCCTCCCCCCTTCCCAGTAAACAGGCCAGACCACATCACAGTAATCTCGTGATATGGGTTCTTTAACGTCCCTTGCCGAGATTAACTAATTGACCGGTGCAGGAGACGGGACCTCCGGCTTTACGTCCTATCCGAGAAGACGAAGCAATGTGAGTGAAGCGTCTTGCTTAAGGACACAACGTCAAGCCCCAGCCAGGACTTGAACCCGGGCCATCTGACCTAGAGTCCAGCGCACTGACCACTGGACTACTCACGCCTCACA